CTTTTTCTGTGGAGCTGTTCATGGTTTTAATGATTTGTAATGTCCTTAGACATCACTGTGATAACTATGGCTGTCATATGGTACAAGATTCATCTCTTGTGGGAACAGCAGTTAGCCTAATGGCTATGTCGCTTGACTCCCATGTAGTCGACCACGGTTCGAGTCCCGGACCCAGTGGCTTAAACTCACGCCGGGCGCGTGTGCGTGTGTGCCCAAGATCTCGAGAGGAGAATGGAGGAGAAGGGATTGCGGCGTGGCCATCCCCCCTGGGGGGTGATTTCTCACTTTCTGACTCTCTGTCTGTCTTTCTGGTGAGCGCACGCACCCTATAGCAAAAACCTCTCCAAAAAAAAAAAAAAAAAAGATTCATCTGTGTCTGACTTTTCAAGTTATTTTTATTGTTCAAAATTCTGTCGACTATGTTGGTTTTTGTCTTTCATGGATTAGGAATATGGGCCCATGCTAATATCATAAAAGGTCTTCTATATTTTCTTCTAGTGGTCTTATGACTATACACTATGTTAAAATCTTTATTGGATATGGAATATATTTGATGTACGAAAGAGGTCATTTAACCTTTGCACATGGATGGCCAGTTTACGAAATATATTTATTGAATAATCCAGGTCTGTTTCCACTTACTTGAAATGATATGTACACATATAGGTCTGTTTATGGACTTACCAGTTCTCTTTATTTTATTACACTGGAACCATCCCATTTTAGTAAATAGAGCTTTATAATTGTGTCTCCATGTCTATTATGATCTGTCATTTTTTTTAAAGTTTCTTTTTACACATTTATCAAATTATCAGGTTCTTTAATAAGTGCTATTTGGATTTTGAGTGTAACTGAATTGTAACTTATAGATTAATTTGAGGAGAATTAACATCTTTTAGTTACTGAGTCTTTGAAGGACAGAGGGAAGGTTGTTATTATGAGTGGAATATTCTGTCCCCCTAAGTTTAACTGTTTATTATTAATTTATCAGAAAGTAAGTGATTTTTTTGTATTGTAACTATCCACATTGCTAGGCTACTTCTTTCAGTTTTTGCTGATTCGCATGCTTTTCCAAGTATATTCTCTGTATGGAATTATAATTTTCCTTTCTAGCACTTATGCTTAATGTATTGTATTATCTCTAAGATAAGAGTGAACAGTGAAGGTGGGCATTGTCACCTGTTACTGCTTTACATAGGATGCCTCCAAAGTTTTGGCTTTAATTATGATGAAATGATCATGTTTTCCAGTAGAAAGATGCCTTTTTTTGCATTTTGGTTATTTTCTTTTTAAATTTCCTAAGTTTTTTTTTATTATTTTTTTTTTTGTCAAGAGAGGACACTGAATTTTATCAGATATTTTAAAGTGTCAAATAATATTAATTTTAGCATTTAATTGGAAAGAAAATCTAAATAAAAGTATGTTTGGAGTGGTTGAAGGATCTGGGAATTAGGAAAATGAGAGAACCTTTTTTAGTTTGTTTTCTTTTTGAGAGATTTTTGCTATAGAATGTGTGCAGTTGTTGGAGAAACAGAGAGAGGAAGTGAGAAGTCATTCCCCAGAGGGATAGCCCTGCTGCAATACCTTTTCCTCCATTCTCCTCTTAGGATTTTGGGCACACACATACACCCAGTGTGATTTTCAAGCCTCTAGGTCCAGGACTCAAACCATGGTTGGCCATGGGAGAGTCCAGTGCCTTAATCACCATGCCACCTGCTGACCCCAAAGCTTTGAGGTTTAAAGTGATAAAGTAGGGAATTGTGTTTCAGCTGAAGTTGCTGCAGTATGAAAGCATGAGATAGTATGATGATTTGGAGAACAGTTAAGAGTTTTAATACACTTGGGGATAAGTGTGAAGGGAGAATTTGGGAGAAAAGAGTTGAGATACAGGGTTCTAGGGGCCAGATCCTGAAGGTTCTTGTTTGTCCTGCTAAGGAGTTTTGGTTTTATCCTGGGGACACTGATATCAAAAAATGACGTGGGGCATGAGGGAACAAAGTGTGTTTGATCCAGTTAGAGAACTGCTAGGAGGTATTTGTAATAGTTCCTGCAAGAGGCATTGACTAGGGAGATTTAATGATGCGGGGAGAAGTGAATGGGTTCAAGGGAGAATTAGGAAGCAGTCCTACCAGGATTTCGTGTAATGAGTGAGGTAAGGATGAGTCAGGTGTAATCCCCAGTTTTTGACATGAAATATTTGAGATGGGTGGTACTGGTCTTTGGGATTGAGAGTATGGGGTGTAACTGATGAGAGGTTCAGTTTTAAAAATATTGAATTTGAGGTGCACGTAGGTTATATGGAGATTTGGGTCTGGAAATCAGAAAATAATCTAGGTCTGCAATCACGGATTTGGAAGTCTTTAGCATATAAGCAGTAATGGAAGTTAGGGGGGTATGTGGGGTACTTTGGAAGGATGTGCAGAGTGAGAAGGGGCCTGGGTCCCAACATGTGGCATAGCAACATTTCAGGGGCAGCAGAAGGAAAAGGTCTACAAAGAAAACCAGGAAGGAACTACTGAAGTAAATGTGGAAATCTGGGAGAAGCATTGCATGGAAACCAAGGGGGAGATGGTTCCAGGAACATGGCAGTGGTCAGTAGTGTCAGGCATAGTGAGATATTGTACTGAGTCTAGATAAGACCTGAAAAGTGTCTTCTGAATTAAGCAACTAGGAGATCATTAGAGCAAATATCACTGTCTTGTGAACTTTAACTAAAGAGAAGGGAACTGGTTCTTGTTTGTCTTGCTAAAGAGGTTTTGGTTTTATCCTGGGTTGGTGCATATTTTAAAAAGAGAGTGACTTGAGCATTTTTATATTTTGACTAAAAGCAGCAGTAAGTAGAATGTAGTTGAAAGGAAGAGAAAAGAGAAGTTGGCATGGCTAGGCAGTGAGAGTGGGATACAGAGCAAAAATGCAGGGATTAAGTTTGGAGAGGATAGACAAATGGAAGGTGTCTGGGCATGGGTTGTTTATTTATATTGGGATTTTGGAGGCATTTGTTTTCTCAGGGGTGGCAAGATCTCTAGCAATACATGAATTCATTCAAAGTGTTTGAGGCCATTGAATATGAAATTCAAAACTAAATAACAGAATGGCAGTTATCAAGTAAGCATTCAGGGCAGCATCAGAATCCTACTCTTCTAAAGGAAGTGGAATTTTAACTTAACCAATTCTTTTTGTTCTTTACATTTACATGAAATTACATGGTGAGTGAGTGGAGTGGATTTTATTATTTCCCCAAATTACCAGAAGTTCTTAAGAATGATAGAGCTGTAGTTATAAAAAGGCAATGGAGCAAAAGTGACATCAGCCTATGGCTCATTATAATGAGAAAATGTAGTTTGGGAATGCATGTGCAATATTTTTGGAGTGGAAGGTAGTATAGATTCAAGAATTGTGAAAAATACAGTAGAAGTCTAATCTTTTCTCTCATCCTAAAAGTCCCCCCCATTTTTTTTTTATACTAGGTAAAAGATGCCGAAACACGTCAAGAGCCAAAGGAATTCAGATTGCCAAAAGGCCATCACTTTGATATGAACATTACAAACATTCCCAAAGGCAAAATTTCTATTGTAGAAGCATTAACGCTGCTCAATAATCATAAACTTTATCCAGAAACATGGACTGCTGAGAAAATAGCTCAAGAATACCTATTAGACCAGAAAGATGTAAATTCTCTTCTCAAATATTTTGTTACTTTTGAAGTCAAAATCTTCCCTCCTGAGGACAAGAAGGCAATACAATCAAAATGAAGAGAATCATGGAATTATTTTTCTACGTGTAATCTCCATCCCTATATCCTGTTGATTTCTATTTTAGCACATTAAATTATATAAATTACCCAGTGTTCAGTGATCCCTACTGTGAGAGCTTCCTATTTATTGAAGCTTCCTAATTGTTGATTTTAGGATTGCTCATAAAATGTATTTTGTTTTCTCTTAAAATTGGTTTAGCCTTTGTTCATATATGTGTGTGTGTGTGTGTGTGTGTGTTAGAATGACTGTTTAATTTATAAGTTTATGAAAAATAAAAGAATAAATGTGATATTTTAGACATATCAGCTTTTAAATTGATCTTGTGGACTTTTGAGAAAAGCATGAATCCCTCCTTTAACATTTAAAGTTTGACTTTCTTGCATGAATGGTCTTTAAAATGATAAGAAGTAGTTAGTGATATTTATAAAATGTTAGTATTCTCTGCTTCAGCACACAGAAATAGGTAAGTCCAAAAGCTTTCAGGGAAACAGGCCATAGTAGGAACTGTTTGAAAAAAGTAATGTCTGGATTTAATATAGATATATAAGAAAAATTTAAAGAACTCTGGGAAATTAAATTTGGTGATTAATGTATATTTTTCCTGATTTTAATGCTATTTGAGAGAAGACAGAAAAATTTATAAGTAGAAGCATTAAAATGTGATCATTGGATGGGACTTGGGAAGTTACTGCTTCATCCATTTAACAAACTTAGGAGCACCATGTGTACAGTAACAGGATCTCAAGGGAGATGGTGTGAGTTTAGTTCTGCCTAATACATTAGTGCCTGTGGGATTTGGGGTAGGTTGTGTAACCTCTTTGAGATGGAATTTTTTTTTAATTCTTTTTTTAAAAATTATTTAATTCTTATTTATTCATCCATTTATTTTAATTTGACCAGAGACAGACAGAAAGAGGGGAAGTGAGAAAGTAAGCCACCAGGTCCAGGACTTGAACCGTGTTCGGCAATGTGGGAGTGTCCAGCACCTTAACCACCATGCCACCTGCTGGTCCCGAGATGGAATATTTTTAAAAAAATGAGTATAGTGCTGCTTTACATAAATCTAAGGGTTACTAAGGTAAGCGAAATAGTTAGGGGCTCCAAAGGACCAAGCAAGTATGAGTTCGTTTTTGCAGAGTTGAAAATAGTTGCCTGGAGAGGATACCTGAACAAAGATTCTGTAGTTAAGGCAGCCCCAGAATTTAAGCTTTGAAAATCCTAGTGATGTGTTTTTTTTCCGTGATGTCAAAAAGCACATCTGAAAAGAGTAGAATGCAAGTGGAATATTGGGTTAACTGATATGCTTCTGTGGAAAGATAGGCATCACTACTCTTGGAAATTCCCCTAGAAGTGGTATAGATGCCAAAAAATTTAGCATGGTGATGGAATATGGCATATGCAATAATGCTGAGAAATTAAAATGGACCGAGATGGGACATTTTAAAGCTTTTTTTTTTTTTTTTTAATGTGAATAAACGTTTATTTTGGCTCAATACATTTCTTTCAAGAAAACATGAAAGTACTTAATATAAAATTGTATTTTAAAATTGTCAATGAACTAAAGCCTTTTAAAAATTATGTAAAGGTTGGGACCAGCAGGTGGCATGGTCGTTAAAGTACTGGACTTCCACTTGGTCAGTTGTGGTTCAAGTCCTGGACCTGGTGGCTTGAAAATTACTCAGGGTGTGTGTGAGCGCATGCCAAAAGTCCTGAGAGGAGAATGGAGGAAAAGGGATTGCTGCATGGCCATCCTCCCCTGGGGAGTGATCTTACTCTCCCTCTGTCTGTCTCTCCCTGGTGAGTGTACGTGCCCTATGGCAAAACCTAAAGAAAAAAAGAATGTAAAGTTCAATATTTGAATCACTAGTACTGCTATTTCTGAACCATCATTTCTGTTCAGATCTGTATTGTGTGGTTAGGTGGTTTTAATATGGCTGCTGTTATGATCAAATAAAGTATTTCCCATATCAATCATAGACCTACTCTACTACTTTTTACATGTTTGAGAGAGTGGTTGAATAGCAGTAGTGTCACGGTACATAGAGTTTAGATTTAGGAAACTTGGACTTAGGTCTCAGCATCAGTATTAACCATGATCTCCTAGAATTGTCCTCAGTGTTCTTAGCTCTACCTTATCAATATTTAGCATCTTATTATCATTCAGGAATGATTCCAATCTGCCCTTGAGGGCTTTAGTTGGTCCCTCAAAACTTGTGCATGGACATCCTCTCTTCCTGGTTTGTTCAATGCCCTTAAGTGCCCATAATCCCAGGAAAAGTAGGGTGGACACTGAAAAATTAGTGGTATTGTGTTGTGAGGAAGCGTCTTTATGCATACATGGAGGCATTGAACCAAAGTGGCTCAAAGCACCCTGAATTGGTGGTGTGCTTGAAAGACAACTAGGACACAAGTTGAAAATGCACAAGATGAGGCCAGCAGATGGTATAGTAGATATATCGCTGGACTCCTGGATGGCCAACTATAGTTTGAGTCTTGGACCCAGTGACTTGAAATTCAAATCATATGCGTGTGTGTCCAAGATCCCAGGAGAATGGAGGAGAGGGGATTGTGGCATGGCCATCCCCTTGAGGGGTAGATTTCTCACTGTCTCTGTCTTTCTCTCCGGCAAGCACATGCACTCTAAGAAAAAAGCCTCTTTAAAAACAAACAAACAAAAAAACAATACATAATGAACAAGTGTAAGGGATTTTATTGTTTTTATGCACCTCTTACAGCCTCCACTCACTGCTTGATAGGTGTATTTTACTTGACAAGACTAATCATGCAAAGTTTGAGAGAAAGATCGTCTATCCAGTTTATCTGTGATGGCTATGCTGCATTTTGTTCTCTTCTATTCTCATGGGATTTGGGGCATGAACACATGTGCCTGGTGTTGAGTTTCAAGCTGGCAGGTTCAGTACTTAAATCATGGTTGACCATTTTGGCATCCAGCACCTTAACCACTACATCCTGCTGTCTCTACTTATTAGGAGAAATGATTAACTATCAAGCACTTATTAGTTCTAAATCCCTGTATAAAAAAATAAAGCTTTAAATTCAAAACACTTGAGTCATTATTCCATTTTTTTTTTCCTTGCCAGTGCCCCAACAATAGAACGGTATGTATCTTGGGGGCTCACATGAATAGAATTGTAAAAGGGGCTCCCTAGTTAAGAACAGAATCCTGAGCAACGTTAAAGAGCTGTCATTTTTTCAGTGTATTGGTGTTCTGATGTATACAGTAGGTAACACCAGAATTGCTTCCTCTTTTCTATCCTATGAGGAAAAAGACAACAGAAATCATTGTATAGAAGAATAATTTGGGAACAAGAATTTAGTCATGATGGGATAAATTAGAACCTGTAAATTGAGAAGTGAAATGAAAAATGGGTGACAGAGTATAGACTTGAGCAGGAAAATTTCTTGGTTGCATGACAAAATACTGCCTTTGAAAAGGTTGTCTAATTCAGAAGCAGAAAAATCACCTGACTGAGAAGGAACTCTGGTTATGGAATCTTAAGCGAGCAAACTAATTAAAGGACTAATGTGGAGGATAGATTACTGATGGTTATACAAGGGGAGAGGTTCTGTGAAGAAAAATACAGCAGTTTCTCAAATTTCATGCTTTTTTCTCCTTACAGAAGGCTAAATAATGATTAATACGGCATATCTGGTAGTAAAATTTTCATTTAGAGCTAATGATATTTGAGCAATTTTGCTGTTTTATTGTACTTAATATCATTTTGTATGGAAAATATCATGGCCAAATTTTTCTTTAAATATCTTTCTGCATTTCAAGGTAAAAAATAATACAAATCATCTAATAATTTAACTGTTTCGGTGTGTGTATGTGTGTGTTAGACATGGTCTAGCAACGTCCTGCTCCTCCTGCCTCATCCTCCCAAGCAGGTAGGACTACAGGTGCATACCACTGTGTCCGACTCCTTTGGGGTGGACCAAGAATCAAATATAGGCTGAGTGGCAGCATTCACCATGGCTGGACTTACAATAGTATGTTTTTGTACCATTTTTAAATTACACATTTTTAAAAAAAGTTTTGTTATATAGGGCATGTGTGCTTGTCAGAGAGAGGAAATGTGAAAAATCACACACACATACACACCCCTGCGGGCATGTCTATGCCACAGTCTTTTCTCTGGGAGGATTTTGGGCACACATGCACACCCATGTGCCCAGCGTGATTTTTTAAGCCACTGAGTTGGGGACTCAGACTGCACAGTTTGCCATGTAGAATCCAGCTGCCTTAACCTCCACACTGGCCTAATTTTATTTGATCATCAGGAAAGTCATGATGTATTTTTCTGTGCAAAAATGTACCATGACTTTCCTGACAACCCAAATCTTTTTTTTTTTTAAATAACTTATTTTTGATATATGGCATTATCATTTCTCTTTATGTGGATTGGTAAATATGTAAACAAATGTTGCTTTTTAACTAACTACATAAGAAACAATAGAAATGAACTCTTATTTATTATTTAGCTTATTCCTAGTGTATGAAAACCATAGAGACAGAGTATTCAACTCTGATTGTCTGTTCACTGCTCCTCAGGCCATTATTCATTCATTAGACAGTTTCCTTCCAGTTTCTGGGACTGGTCCAGACCTGATGGCAGAGGTTCAGATAAGGAGCTTAGAAATTGAAAAGCTATTTAAAATATGTCTCGTAGAGGGAAAGGGGAGAAAGATTTTGATTGATTACATTTTGCTGTACAAATATCCCCAAAATACCAAGAGATCACCAAAGCAAAAGTACTTTTCCTCCTCTTAGGTTATTCTTCTGTTCAATCTTTTTCTTTTGCCACTGGCCCTTAAGCTTCTGGAGGACTAGTGAAAGGTAAGGGCCCTTAAGCTTCTGGAGGACTAGTGAAAGGAAAAATAGGAAATTTTGAGAAAACCTCAAAACAGTATTCTTAATGAAGCCTTCTATATTTAGGTAACCACATTCTGCTTTTAAAAAGACTCACTTCTAGGTAGGTCAGATACGTGACTCACTTCTGAATCTAGATATAAAATTAATAACATGGTTTGTTTATAACTCCGCTTATTTGAGTAATTCAGTAA